GGGGGCAGGGTGGTTCCAGCGTCCCACAGTCATCAATCTGAGAAGCTGGTCCCACCCCAGTTTTTTCCCATGACTGGAGGATGACATTCAAAGAAGACAAATAATGAGATTTGGGGTGGCCGAGTTTTGCTGCCTAGTGATACCCAACGCTCCCCGTCTGAAGGCCCCAAATGTGACATCTAAGTGCTCTCTAGCCACCGTGGGACACCACAGAGGTTTTGCAGTTCACAGTTTGGGTCTGTAACAGAAGGGGTAAAGGGTGGCAGGAAAAATAATAAGCAATTTTGTTCCACTCACCCAAGAATCGTTCCACTCACCCAAGATGAGGAAGCCTGAGTGACAATTCTACATGTTTTGAGTAGAGCCTTAAAGAGCATGTACGAGTTTCCTGTCGCCATAATCAAATGCCTGCCTTGGCCCCAGGCCTGGCTGCTGCAGCTTCACTATGGGCCCCGGAATCTCCACACTGTCCCCTGGTCCTCAAGTCCTAGCCCATGGGCGGGCATCTTCACAGCCTGAGCTGAGCGCCACGGTGGAAGGTGTTGTGGGTACAGCTCTCCCCTTGCTTTCTTCCAGGCACTCCTTCTCCCCTCCTCAAGTTCCTGTGCAATAGCCACACGGAAAGAAGTTAAGGGCTGGGTTTTTCACGTTGGAGAAACAGCTGATGAATTCTTCTCTTCCAACCCCAGCACAGAAATTCTCTGGAAATTAATTCTGGAGCAAAAACTAGCCCTGGAGTCTAGCTGAGGCTTTTCTCTCCTTCCCCAAAGCCTAGTGGAGCCATACTACAACCGTTTATGTGCCAAGCCATGTGACAAGACAGCCAGCAAGGCCACTGCCCATCCACTGCCGGCTGCTGGTAGAGAACAGAGACATGTGGGAGAGGAATTGGGAAGAAGAACAATCAGGTGGTGTTGGGGAAAGAAAGAAGGAAGAGGGCATCACCTGAGTCCTTGGTGGGGAAGGAAAGGCCTTGATCTTCTTGTCATTCCACGAGGTCGGAGTGAGGAGGAAGTCTGGGGCTTTCGAGGCTCTGTCTTCCTGCCCACTAGAAAAACACAGCCGACCACCACTTCAGGGCTGGCCCGGCGAGTAGCAGCTCCCCCTCCCTTAAGGAGATGCTCACAAGGGAGGTGGGCAGGGAGGCGGGCGGGGGCAAGGCTCCTGCTTCTCCACTGCCCGTGGGGATGAGGAGGACGCTCCTGCAGAGATCCAGTTAGGGTGCCTGCCTGCTCAGGAGAGTGGCCTTAGTGCGACAGTCCCTTATGTACCCTGTGCTCTAGCCATGGAGGATGGCTCTAAGGTCCCCTCGAGCAAGGCAGAGAGTCTCTTCCCAGGAAATCAGAAAATTTGCCGTGTGTGTGTGTGTGTGTGTGTGTGTGTGTGTGTGTGCGCGCGCGCGCGCGCGTGCACACATGCACGCTTCTTTAATTCTGTGGCTATTATGTATCATTCCAATAAACACCTCTATTCTTGAGTTAGCCAGGTATTTTTTTTTTCTTGCATTTGCTTTTGTCTTTGTTTTGTTTTGTTGCTATTGCTTCGCTTGCAACCATAGAATCTTAACTGAGAATTGGTTGCAATCCACAGACCCTCAGGAGGGTTGGCATATTTGGAACTGGTGTTCTACCCAGGAGTGGGGACAGGGCCGTAGTGAAGCCCCTCCCCCAGCATTCTGGATGGCGGCTGCTGTCATCAGTACTCAGCGTCCCTTGGTTTTTGCTGGGTTTTCTGCCCGCACGGTGGCTTCAGCCAGCATTGGACTGCCATGGAACTCCTCTATAGGGCATTCTGGAAAAACAACAGGGAACATCTCGTCGTCCACTCTGCCTGGAAAGAGAGGTGTCCAGAGGCCAGCGTCTGCGTCGTTTCCCAGGTAACAGCTAAGGGCCTGGCTGGAAGGCCAGAATGTTTAGAAAGAATAAATCTGGAAGCTTGGTTACAGAAATATTTAGGGAAGAGGTATATGGATGGAGATCTCAGAATGAGACCAGAATGAGACCAGAAAATACTCCTCTCTCAGGTGAATACTCACTACAAGGCCACCACTGCGAAAGAGACTTAACAATCAAAGAAGACACCGTTTGGGGCTGCAGGTCAACCCTCTTCCCCAGGCAGCCTAACTTTCAAACTGGGCTCTGCGACAAAATGGCTGGTAAGAGATTGTGTCCAACCACTCGACATGAACTGCTCCCATCAAGGCAGACCTGGTGCCTGATGAATTTCAGCCCCCAGAAGTGATGGCCTAATACATCATTGCACTGTCCTGAGGGGGCTCGGTTCCACGTCAGCTGGAAGAAATACCTTGAGAGGTCGGATGCTGCCTCCTAGAACGTATTATGCTCTGAATCCACACTCAGTATTTAGTGCATTTTCTTCCACAACCATAATTTATGGATCTGGGGATTAAGAACTTAAGAAGAAGGCCATAGCTCTCATGATTACAAATAGTAAACTGCTTCTAAAAATTTTGTTTTCAATACTCATGACTCCGGGACATTCTGATCTAGAGGGGAAACCTCTCTGAGGGCAGATAAAATGGTTTCACTGAATTGCCATATCTGATTGTTCATGCTCCCGCATTGGTGGATAACCATGAGTTCACCGGGTTGGATATGGTAATGGGTCTTGATTAGTGAGAGAAACTTGTTGTTGCTACACAATAGGGCAGGAAAAATGTAAGAAGAACTCGAGGGATTCCAGAGGATCTTTTCTTGTACTACCATGACAAGTAGTAAAGGTTAACAGAAAATTCCACAGCCTTACAGAGGCCGGACAGCAAGGGATTCAGGCTCCACGAGAATGCATCTTCCCACCGCTAAGAGGGACATTGAGTACAATAACCATTTAAAGGCTTTGTGTTCGTGGCAGGAAGGGTCAATGGCGGTTGTAGTCTCTACAGCACGTTTCGTTTCATATATATCTACATATATAGGTACATGTAGATATATCTAGATAGGTCAGTAGATAGATAGATAATGTAAAATATTGAGAAAAGAGCCCGAGGGAGCAGAAGAAACACTGACGCCGTGCCGAGGTCCTCCCCTCCGTGACATAACTCCAACACGCAGTAGCGCAAATTATTCGAGTTTTCTCTAACCGTGGAAGTGGCGAGGGCACTTGCTGCTGTACATGGGATCGTGGGATCCATTACAGGTGAAGGAAGGCCATTTTTGCTTGTCTGAGAAGAAGGGTGCACGTGTGTGTCTGGTAGGCAAGGGGTCGAACGTATAAGGAAGAGCGAAATCAGGTGGCCTCTTGACCTGAGACTTTCCCCCCGGGGATCATGTCCCCATTCTTCTTCCTCGTCCATTGGCCTGATTGATTGGTCCAAGAATCCAGTCACCTGACCTAAGCGATTCTGTCTCCTGAGAATTCGAAACTTTAATCAGAGACGCTAAGATTCTAGAAGTCTGGATCTAAGCCGTCTGATGGCAGAGACCTCAGGCGGCAGACCACAAGCTCTTGAAGTCGAACCCACCTTAGTACCTGTCCTGTCTTTCCTGACTGGTATAGATTTTGTGCTTCTTTCCATTCTCTGAGCTGTCCTAGTTTCCTTCCGAGGAATCCTCTTTTTTTGTACATATGTTAGGCCAGACTCAGTTTCTGCTGCTTAGAACCAAAGGAATCTCGACAGATACACGTGTTTACAGTGGAACTGCATCAAGGGCCCATTTAGCAAAGTGGAATTCAACTATCAGGGTTTAGGAGAAAAAGGGTCGATGGGTTGCCGAACGGCTCGTTTACTCAGGGCCTGAAACTTGCTGCCCGAGTGAAATTCGCGAAAAGACGTGAATTATCCAAGAACTGATGAAGAATGACAAGGGAGTGACACACGCTGTTCGGGTGATCAGGCAAGTGGCGGCCATGACTGTGTTGACTTCAGAAAGAAATGGAAGAATTGATCGAAGGCCTCAGGGAAGCACTGGCTGGCAGAGAGTTAGAGGGACTGGGAAAAGTCTTCTGCAAGGTGGCATGTACGAAAGGCCATGGAAGACACTGGATGCTCTTTGTGAGTGACTTAGGGGATTTTCTGGGTTAATGTTGCATGTTAGGTCACTTGCTTCCTGCTCTGGGCTCTACTCGTGGAAGCCTGTTGGGCACTCACACGTTCCACATGTGGAAACACAGAAAATTAATGCCCACTAGAGCAAGCCTGTGGTGGATGGGAGTAACGGTCAAGTGTGTCCCTCATTCCTTCCCGAGAAAGATGCATTGAGGCCATTCCATGGGGGCTCTTCAGAAGGTCCGCAGACTCAATCGCCCACGTGGGCCACCAAATCAAGAACACATCTTTGCCTCAACTTTCCTTCCTTCTCTGCTTCACTTCCCTGGGTCCCTCAGTCCTGCCCCCGGGGCTCACTTCCCAAATAAATCCTTGGTGGGTGCACCTTGCCTCCAGCTCTGCCCTCAGGAGACCCTAGGATGTGGCAGGTACTTTAGACGGCACAGAGGCCTTGGGCTTTTGCACAAAGAGTAATGGGAAGCCACTGAAGAGTTGGAAGCAGGTGCCAGATAAGGTCTACGTTCTTAAGGGCTGTTCTGGATCCGTGTGGAGAATGGGCGGGGGAGTGGGGCAGTGCCACGAGGGTAAACACGGGAAGCCCATTCTGGAAGCACCTGCTGGAGAGGAGCTTGGGCGAGGATGTTTGCTGTCTGGCTGTCTCGCTGTCTCCCTCCATTTATCGATGACCCTCTCTCACACCTACACACAAGCCCTTCTGATCTTAATCAGCCTCCTGTGCCACATGTCAATCCTGGCTCCCAGCTGCTGGGGGAGGGACATGCCTGTGCTCAGCCCAAGCAGAGGTATATACAAATTTTCCCCGGGTGTCCCAGTGGAGCCTGTGGGGCACCGAGTTCTGAGGGACACAACCGGATGGGAGAGTGGGGGTCAAGTGAGGGAGCAGGAGGAGCGATGGAAGACGTGCTCCCTGAGGCCCTGGAAGGCGAGTCAGGCATCCAGAGTCCAGCAGCCCAGCAGTCAACACAACAAAGGCTCAGTGTATCAGCCCATGTTTATTGAACCAAAGTCTACAGAACACAAGATAGGGAGAGAGCCCGATGGATCTAAAACATCATCTTGTCCAGCGCCCCGCCCCCCGCCAGGGGATGAGAAAACTGAGGCTCGGAGAGACTATGTCCCTTGGCCCCAAGCTGGTAGGTCTCCTCGACTCGTTTGACCTGTTACCGCCATCTTGTTTGACTGTTTTTTCTTTTTTTCAAATCATTCACTCTTCCAACACAGCGTGTGGAGTTTCGCGGGAATTTCACTGGTCCCTCAGAGTGCCCTGGCCCCAAAGGACACCGGCAACTTGCCAGATGTTTCCACCCACTCTGCCGTCACCACCATCATCTTCATCGAGAAGTCACTGCGTAGAGTCAATAATATCCCAATAACTATGTATGGCGTCGGATGGGGACTAGACTTATCGGGGCGATCGTTTCATAAGGCACGGAAAGGTCTGCTCAGTATGTGGTACACCTGAAACTAATATTGTATGTCAACTGTAATTGAAAAAAAAATGATAAGAAAATTAAAAATTAAAGAAGGAAAGAAGCCACTGCCTAACTAAGAGAACTCTGCTGCGAGACAAAGGTCAGGCGACGCTGGAAAGTCGGGCTGAAGGCCACCACCGCCAGGGAAGGACTCCGTTCTTGCTGGGACGTCGAAACACGGGGCGATCCACAGAGGAGCCACTGTTACTTCTCCCATGTTCCAGCACTTCAGACTCGAGCTTTCTCCCGTTGTCAACATTTTCGTATCGCTGGCCTCCTCGTTGCTTTCTCCTCCACGCCTCTTGCTTTATTCGTGACCCTAATGTCTTCTTCAGTCCAAAATAAACAGTTTCTCCCTACCCCCCTCGCCCTCGAGTCCCCTCTCCTCCCTTATTCCAGGTTCCACGTCCCTTCCTTCTCTGTGGCCCATTTGCGGCGCCCTCTTTCTCTCTGACCAGGCGCCGCCGTGCCTTTGTCCCTGTGGGGCTGTGGAGTCAGGCTCTCTGCAGGAGCTCGTGGATCATGGTGAGGATCTCCAGCTGCTTCTCCAGCGTCTGGGCCTCCTGCCTCAGCTCTTCGGCCGACGCCATCTTTGCCCCCTCGTGCAGGTACTTTGACTCCTTCACGAGGCTGATCGTATCCAGCAAAAGTGTGACACCTGCAAGGGCCACACCCGCGATCCGGGCTCCTTTGCTCATTGCCAGCACGGTGCCTCCAAAAGCCTTCTGAATCTGGTTGCTGCTTCTGACTGACACTGTCCCCGTGGTCATGAAGCTCTTGGCCTCGCTTAGTAACAGAGGGTTGGCTTGGGCCATCCTGATGGCCTTGGCGTTCTCCACAATGTCTTTCACAGACTTGATGCATTTTCCTGTTACGGAAGCAACTTGGGGTGTGCCGTGACGTAGAGCCTCTTGGACTATCTCCTTTTTGTTAATGCCAGTTGACAGTAAGTGACTGGCTTTGGCTTTCACCGTGGAGCTGTTTGAGTTTTCCACGATGCTGGCGGACACACCGGTCACAGTAGCTGCTGTCCCCAGTCCTACTCCAGTTGCCAAAAGCACCAGACTGGCCCCTGCTGTCACAGGTGCCAGAGACAGGCCAACGATGGTCAGGATGCCAGACACGACACCGGTGGAACTGGCCACAATTTTGGAGATGGTACAGCGCTTGTTTACCTTGTCAGCTTGGTCTGCTAATTCGCGGAGCTTTCTTATGCATTCCTCAAGCTCCTGTCTCACCTGAGGAAACTCAGTCATAAACCGCTCCCTATCCAGCAGCTCTTTTCCGGGCATGTCTTCCTCCTCCACGGGCATGTCTTCCTCCTCCACGGGCATGTCTTCCTCCTCCACGGGCATGTCTTCCTCCTCCACGGGCATGTCTTCCTCCTCCACGGGCATGTCTTCCTCCTCCACGGCCATGCCTGTTTCCACCTGGGTCAAGACTTCATGTAGCGCGCCTGCCTCACTCCTGTAATAATGAAGGTCAAGTGATTAAGAAAGGCAGTGTGCTTATCTGTCAAGTGGGCTCAGTAAGATTCAACCTGCACAAATCACAGAGATTTTGCTATCAATCAAAGGGAAAAGAATTATACAAATGTAAAGATTTTCTCTTTCAATGTTAAACACGTGTTTTGTACCTTATAGATGCTTCATAGTACTTATTCAGTCAGGGAATAAGTAAGGAAAAGTCCTCTTAGGATGCTCTTAAGTGGTAAGCATTTGATAAAGACAGCTTCTCACGCAAGGGCAGGTCAACACCCTCACTACCGAAGTGTTTATAGAGTGGGAACTTCACAGACAACCAAAGAGAAATGGGGTGAAGCAGAAAAACCTTCGTTCAGAGGATCTTAGAGTGTGGTGAAGACTTAACCTGACCCACAGAGCGCTCTGCCCTTTGCCCTTAGCTACCGGGAAGTGATCTCTAGGCTCCCACAATGTCTCGACTGATAGGAGTGTCACTGTTTGCCTGGCCTTTGGCCACTGGACAGTATAACAAGGTGATGGATGATGGAGACTTTGGGTCATAGGGTATCAGTCCTGACCTACAGAGGAATTAGAAACTAAAGCCATTCGTCTGACTTCCAGGAGGGGCTGGAGACTAGAGGTCAGCCACGTGGGCAGCCTGCGATCGAGCCCCAGTAAACGCCTGTATACCGAGGCTTGGGTTGAAAAAGACTCTTTCCTTGCCTAACTTTAGCTCTCTTCTCAACGAGGCCTCGACCTTGGCCTTCCGTGCCCTGTCCTTGACAGCCTATATCACCCAGGCTTAGCGAGAACCCTGGCAAGTCAGTTTAGCGAGAATCCCCTCATTTTTGATACCTGGTCACCTTTGACATCTGATCAGACTCCTCGCCACCCCCACCTTTGATGCGTAAGTCCTTGACCTACCTTTGACCTCTCTTCTTAGTAATTCTCCATCCACCAATCCTCTCATTCTGCTCATTAGCTATAAATCCCCAGCTGTCTCTGCCTATCTGGAGTTGAGCCCGGTCTCTCTTCCCTACTAACTTAGGCTTGACACATCCTGCAGTGGCCCTGAAAGGGGCTTTCCTTACCGTTTAATAAGAGTCTGAATAATTTATTTTCTTTAACAGGGTGAACTTCCCTGGTTGGTAATGCTTCATGCACATTGTCACAAATCGAACACGGGACACTAACACGTTCTGAAGACAACGGAACTTCACGTTTACAGCCCTCCCAGACTCCACCCCATGCAGCTCTCCCTTTGGCTGATTGTAGCCTACGTCCTTCCCCGTAATAAACTGTGACTGTGAGTTTGACAGCTTGCAGTGAGTGCTGTGAGTCCTTCTAGGGAATTATCTAACCCGAGGGTGGTTTGGGGACAGCCCCCCAAACTTTCAGTTGCTGTCAAAAGTAACGGTGGTCTTGGGAACTGTGCCCCAGCCTTCACATTTTGGCAATTCTGGGTACTTAGAATTAAACAATCAAAAACTCAGAGCTAGAAGGGGTCCTTCATGGTCCCTTCATTTTGCCTGGCATCTGCTCTGCCAAGCCTGATGCCCTTTGACCTTCCCAGATGAAGGTCACTGGACTCAGACGCTGCTCCAATTGACAAGGAAGCTGAGGATCTACTACTATTTTTGGTTCCCTCAAACTCTCCAGCCCACTGCCCAGCACCCCTGACTTCTCAGGTGTCACAAGCCTAACTCACAGCTTAGCTGGTGACAGCTTCACATGCCTGCACGCCAAGGCCATGTGCAACTTTATGGAGCCGCTTGAAGATACAAGAGACTTTAAGAACCATGGATATGAATCATTAAGCCTGAGACCTGCATGTGGACGAGCTGATGCAGAAAGCACCTTCCTGTCTGGTGGAGACTTGTGAATCTACTCAGAATCCCTCAAATTACACAAAATTGGCAGCCACCCATTCTGATGTTGGAAGTTGTCACCAAGACACACTGCCTTCTCACTGCTTCTACATAGAATAGAGGGGGTTCCCAAATGACAGTCAGGAACCCTTGGCTCCCGGGCAGGGTATGGAAGACATAATCACCCACAGCCCTCTGCATCCAGCGGTGAGGGGATCGATCAAGGAGGGAAGAAATGTCCCTCTCCAACTCACGAGACTTCCCCTAGGCCCACGGCCTCTTCAGTTTTGTGACCTAGGTGCCTCGGTCGCCTCATTCCAGTCCCGGCCCCGCTGCCAAGCCTTCCTATTAGTCCTCCAGCCTGGACTCACCCTTGCTCCCTCCTCACCCTCTGCTCTGACCCTGGTCCAAGCCTCCCTGGGCCTCTGGACAGGATGACTGCACTTGCTCCCTCATCTTTGACCTGAAGTTCACACTAAGACCATCACCATAATCCTGTCAGATTGACTTGCTGTTCCCATTGCAGAGATGACAAATCTGAGACTCTAAGACGTAAGCCCAGAGCCCCAGAGCTGGGTGGAGAGAGAGTCGGGATCCAACTCAGCTCCGTCCAACTCCACTCCAGCCTCTCTCTGCCTTCGGGCCAGCAGGATCTTGCAGTGTTTATAAAATTCCTTAAATAGGGAGGAAAAGGACTCTAGCCAAAATCCCCAGGGACACAAACTGATTGTGTCTGGACTTTTCTGGCTTGTCGCAAGGGAAGTCCTGCTGGGCTCTCATCCAGGAAGAAAGACCCTCGGCCCCCGTCTTTCCCCAGCGATCTTTTTAAAAGTTAATGTTAATTGAGCATAACATGTCAGCATTTTACATGCATTATTTTCTCTTCCTCATGATAAAATTGAAAAGAGGAATAAACTAAGAGAGAGAATGGCTAAGTAAGTTGCCCAAGGTCACCTAACCTCCCTCCTGTGGGTTTCATCTCTTCTCAACCTGAGGCCATTCGCAGCCAAGGAATGATATGGAGGAAATCCTCTTTCTGGATTGTTGAGAAGGAACATCCAACCCCAAACACACGTTATTGCCTGGAGGAGCCATGCCTGCCACAGGAAACCAGCTCAGGGAGCAGACCTGGGTGACATTCCTGGGGCGTCCCCTGGAGCTTACCCGGATAAACCGTCCTCAGCCACAGGTTCCTTCCTGGCATGACCCATCAGCTGGCTTTTCGGTTCCTCTCTGCACATTGGGTTCAGTAAAAATTCAACGTCTTCAGGAAAGCTTTTGCTCTCTAGATGGAAAGAAAATTAATAAGTTTAGAAGGAATCGTGGTAGACAGTAAAAACTATTTAGTATAAGGCTAAATGTTAATAATCTTCCTGAGCAGCTGTCACCTGGGTACTTTTGATGAAATCACCTGGTGTTATGGACTGAACCATGTCTCCCCGCTCCCCAAATTCCTATGTTGAAGCCCTGACCCCTCTGTGACTATATTTGAAAGTAAAGCATTTAAGGACATCATTAAGGTTAAATGAGGTCATATGCGTGGGACCCTAATCCAATATGACTGATGTCTTTACAAAAAGGAGAGATACCAGATTTCTCACCCTCCCTTTTCTCTAGGTGATCATCTCACCAGAAACCAACCGGACCGGCACCTTGCTCTGGGACTTCCAGCCTCCAGATTAATTATCTAATTTGGGGGATCTGCATGTGTTTAGGAATTCAGAATTTTTAATCATTTAGAGAATGATTAAATATGGTATATTACTTACCACTGCCAGCAAGGGCTGGGCAGTACCCTATAAACAAATGCTTTCATTTTCCACAGTGAAACAAATGAATATTCACATCAAATGGGATAAATAATGTAACGACTACAGAGTCTCATGTCAGTACAGAGCAAAATTACTGCCCCAATGAGTTACCCACCCACCCCCAAAAAATTAATGTGTGGTTTTCAGGGAATTTAGAGATTATGGAATTGCAGGCAAGAGACTGGAGACTAGTATATATTTATATATGCGCTAGGACATGCTGTAAAATGTATTTCCTGCTATTTACACACAAAGAGGCATCTTTTTTTCACTTTTGCTACATTTTAATAGTAGGTTTTTTTGAAGGATAAATGTGTAGGTCTTGTCAGCAACAACAAACAAAAGGTACTGCGTACTCCGTAGGGTACAGGTGCTGCCAAGCCCCTTAGAAAATTCACATGACACAAAAACATGTGGTTCTTGCCCCTTGAGGAGTTTACCATGTGGGGGAGCTGACAGCTCATTATCTAAGAGTTGAGTGAACAACAACGTAATTTAAGACAAATTCCATCCTCCCCATCCATTGGAGATGGAACCATTTTGGAATTGATCTAATCAGAATAAGAGCCAGGACTCGATTTGGTCCAGAATTCTTTCAGGCTCGTATAGTTAACATCCACCTTCGTTAACAGAATCGACCTCATAGACAACTGAAAGGAAAGACGCGGTCACCTGAAGTGTGAGGGCTAGGACAACTTAATTGTGGTTACTTATTTTAAAAAGCAAACATACTGAATAGTATGACTGGGGTTATTACACTAGTTTAAAAATAGGCCAAGTACTGGCTGCATTCCCCTCACGCTAGCACTGGTCATGTAAAATAGTGAAGATTAAATATGTGGGCTCTACATCTAACCCCCAGAAAGCCCACCCAGATCTTAATGCCATGAAAGTTTTATTTATGCCCCGTTGTGTCCAAAGTAGTGTAAAGAGTCAAATTAGAATAAACTAATAACCTGCATATTTCCAAGTGGATGAATGTTGATATATCTAAATAGGAAATAAATGGCAATCCTATTGCCTATGTAAAAAAATAAAATTATCTCCAGGTTTTGCATACTCATCGCTATTGTTAAGGGTGTGGTTCTGGGCAAAGGTATGCTAAGGGCCAACTAAGGGCCAAAAAATAAAATTATCTCCAGGTTTTGCATACTCATCGCTGTTAAGGGTGTGGTTCTGGGCAAAGGTATGCTAAGGGCCAACTTCTGCTTCTGTAATCTGCTTGCTTGTTTGATATTAAATAGGGTGTGGTTAATCTGTTTGCTTGTCTGATGTCAAACCAGAGTGTGATTCTAGGCTTTATGAGCTGCCTCTTTTGGGCGCTCAAGGCTGATCTCCTCGAACCCTGCGTGGTGGAGAGTCTGTCGCCGGCCGGCTAATAAAGGCTCATAATTCATCTCAGTTGGCTCTGTGGGTCTTAGAATTGATCGTGCCACAACACTATAAGAAGAGATAGGCAGGTTTTCAGATTTCACAATCGGTTGTCAGGAAAACAGCAGTTATTCCTGCAGTAGCTGACTCGAATTATTTTTAGATCATACGATTTAGAAGATATTAGAAACCCATCTAAAAAACTGTAATTATTCTGAGATGTTTCCACGTTAACCCCAGAAGCCTGTCAGAAAAAATAACAATGTGATATAGAAGAACAGTGGATCAACATGGCTAAAAATAAGCTTACTTTCAGAAAAGCGATCTGGTCATCTGGAAAAATCACAGCTACAATCTGGGAACACACCCGTGTGGATACAGACCTACCTGGCCACGGGCACAGGAGGGAAAACTAGGAGATCGGGGTGAATTTAGGCCTCTGTAAGGAGCAGCCCGTAAGTTTCCGGACTGACCTTATTCGAATTGGTCTAAGCCCTATCAACACGGTTTCATACCACACTACCCACGTCGGCCCAAAGTTGGACATTAATTTAAAAAATCCCAAAGAACTTAATGGAACAGATAGATGTGTAAACGTTAGCACTAAGTTGGAGGATGAACACATCCTACCCACAGGCGTCGTGATTAAGTTAGAAAAGAGACTCTTCATTGCGCAATCAATAGAAAAGTAAAGGTCACCTAACCTCCCTCCTGCAGGTTTCCAAGTGGATGAATGTTGATATATCTAAATAGGAAATAAATGGCAATCCTATTGCCTATCTAAAAAAATAAAATTATTTCCAGGTTTTGCATGTTTCAAAACCTACAATGAGGCCATATGCAAAGGACTCTTATGCGTCAGCAATGTGCTGGACTTTGAAGAGAGCTCAGAGGTTGAATCCAAGGTCAGCCGTCTGACATTTCTCTGAAGCCTCCTTACGTCTCAAAAGTTCCCGTGACTTCTGCATTCTACCCTATAGCAGGCTTATGTTTTTGTTCGTTTGTTTGTTTTTTGCTTTTATGTTTCAGACTACACACCACTGAGTAAAACTGCCATGCAAAGAGTATTCCTCCTGCTACGCACAGGTGCGGATGGGGGGTCTTCAGGTGGGTGGGGGTCTGGACCCTCCCCACGAATCCTGGGATCAATCCCATCACCTCTCTCCCCTCAGGCTGGTCTCGGGGGGACGGAGCTCCCCAATGATACCTCTGAACTCAAGCTGGCCCATTTATCAAACAGGAGATCATCTCATCTGTCCTCAGGGAAAACAAGCTCCAGCCCTCAGTCAAGGATCCTGGAGCCTGCTAAGGAGCTCCTGGCTTCTGATCTGTCCTCCCCTTCCTTATCCTGTAAGTATTTCCCTCTCCTGGGAGGCTACTGGGAGGGTGACTTGGTTGCCAAGGCAATGCAGTCTTAGCATTGATTTGGGTGGGTGGAGGGTTGTTTTTCCTTTTCTTCCTTCACTGAGTGAGAAAGGAAACCAGGGCTTAGATGGAGGGAAGTCACAGCCCTAAATCTGTTTGTTTATTGACTGGGGTGGGTGTGGGTGGGGACATACAGAGCTGCACCTCTGCGGGG